ACTGGTAGTTTATCAACTAGCAACTTCTTAAGTTACTCGTATTTTGATTAATAGAATTGGAACAAACATTAATAAAATCGCAACAAACTTCTACTCACCAGAGCCTTAGACGACAAGCAAAAGCCTTAATATTTTTCTTGAATCCGATTTACATATGTATATCTTCCAACAACTATATTTCTTTAATGTGGGAATAAAAATGTTAGCTTTCATTTTAATAACAGCAAAATTAATCTGCACCTTAATAGAATTACTTAATTCCAGAATTAAAAGAACACTACATGCAGATTTTGCTTAAAGATACATTGCCAAAAGTTAAAGAATAAATTTATGCAAGTAAAGAGAATGTTATCAAACTTCAATTTTACTTTTTTTCAAAAGAGAATTATAATTCCTATTTATCAGAGACGTAGGAACTTTAAGTTTTATGCAGCTTTTGTCTATTTATTGAAGATTTTGAATACAAACCGTCTTCTGCGCCATCTGTAAATACAAAGCTACAAAGATCTAAGACAAAATTAATTATTTGTAATAATTAAAATTGAAGATTAAATCAGTTGTGAATATAGAGTAATGCTTGAACAATTAAGTAACTGAATAATTAAGTAAAATAGTGCTTGATTGCTTCACTAATTCAATGATCTCAACAAATGAAATGATCTAATCTTGAAGTTTAGATATTTCTACTAACTCTGAATCCAAACTGTTCATTTTCTCATGGCCCTAATTGAAATTGGTGGAACACATAGTATGAATGATGCAACTTCAGTTTTCGTGAAAATGAAATTAAGTATGCACATGGAATCACAAAGTAAATTTTCAATATTCTAAGTAAATGACTCCTATTGTTAAGGGCCCACCAGCGGCCGAACGGTAAAGTCGCTGAACACTGGTAGTTCGGCCCGAGGTTCGAATCCCGCGAACGGGCATGGCTGCATGGGCGTTTTCGTGGTTTTCCTCATGTGTAACGTGTATACGAGCCAGTTTCCCTTAAAGAGTCCTCCACGAAGGCATCCCTCCCCTTAGGCAGATAGCCCTAGTGTGCTTTGCCATAATTAAATAAACCAAACCAAACCTATTGTTAAGTTTTTTACTTGGTAGTTACAAAAAGAGTCATTGATGGTTATAAATTATAATCCATGAAATCTGAGTGGATGCAACTGAAAAACACAGCAGCACTTACCATAAAATACGAAGAATGTTACAGGCGCCCAAATTTTGAAATTCATATGTGGACATCCATTAGATCAAGTGAGGTCGCTGTTTCCAAATTCTAACTAAATTGAATTAGGAGTCATTCTACAACATCAGGCGTAAGATTACACATATTAACACTAACGATGAATGATAATTAACGATAAGCTTTTGAATTTAAACAAGAGATTTCGTACAATTCTACGAAATATTTCGATCATTACTTTATTTATATTTCTGCTCATAGCAGCCCATTCTTTAACTAGATGTCTATGTTAAATGTATCAACTTAAGTTTTATGCAACTGTGGTCGAGTAGAAAGACTGCCGAAAGCTAACAGTTGGTCTCAGTTTGGCCGTCTAATCTCTAACGTTTCCGAGGTTTCTCCTTGCGTAATATAAATAGCAGCCAGTTTTGCTTACAAAATCCTCTAAGAAAACATCTTTCCGTATGCAGACACACCCCACGAGTTTAGTTTTAGTTAATTAACCAAATGACCAAAGCAAATGTTCTGTGAAAACTTTTATAATCATAATTCTTAAAAATAACATTGATGGCAACGATTTCTATGTAAATTAAAATGCATAATTAATGAAACGCTTAAAAAGAATTTTGTTCCCTTCCTCCGCCTTATGTTGGCTCAATTTACGAAGACTCGCTTTTATGACGGCCATAAATTAAAAATCATCTAACTTAAGTTTACCTGCAACATACACATACCCACATTCTTTTTGTTCGTGTAACACAATGTGACTGTCGAAACTTTGCTGCGCCCCTAAAATCCGCTATGTGATATTTCAAGATTTTATCTATTTTTCATTTTTTGCTTGTTCTCAAAAACTATTATTTCCTTGCAAATTTATCCAAATTGTGGTAATAGAATACTCTAGAGATGTGAAATGTCAGGAAAAAAGGCATAATACAGGTTACACAATTTTTTGGAAAAAAATATTATATTCGTGAATATTTTCACAATATTGGTATTTCAGAGATACAATATGTGAAAAGAAGTCTCAAAACAATGTATGCGAATAATTTGTAAAATGTTGCTGCCACAGGAAACACAGGAACAGTATTACGAACATAGTATTTTGGAACTAATTGGCGAAGAAGCTGATGAAATTGGTTGTGCGCTGGGTCTAGACATCAGTATTGGGATGAAGAAGCGTTAGTGATCACAAATAAGGTGAATTGACTGCCGATAGTTTGATTAATTTCCAGAGGAAAACAGTAGTAGAAGAAATGAGAAACGAGGAAGATGTAGAAGAGAAACCGTCAAAACAATTTACTGTCAAATATTACTGTCATACCTCCAATTATTTCTTTAATTAAATCAACGTCTTCAGCTACTGAAAAATATTGATCAAAACACCGACTCTTTCATCAAAGTTAAAAAGTAAATTCGAGCAGGAAATAAAGAAGGGAAAACGCACAATTTCGGATTAAAACCAAACAGACGAACAAAATTTTTCTGGTTAAAGAAATTGTTTCCGATTAAAATGAATCATCGGGACGAATAAGAATTTCGCATTCTTAATGAAAGACGTCGTTCATATATTTTTGTTCCTTCTAACTAATTTTAGGAAGGGTAATGCATGCGGTGTATCTGGTGTCATGCTAAAGAAAAGCCTGATTTAAAAAATATAATCAACATTATTAAAAACAAAATATATCCCCTCACTTACGTCAGAATTAAATTACAACGGGACCTCTGAAATGACACCTACCGTAAGGTGGCAAGGGTATTGCTGATTTTTCATGTTTTTTGTTGTGATAAATTCCACTCGCTCTATACTGAGACCTTAAATGTGGTAGCTAATAATTCATCATCACCTGGATTTAGTGACTGGGTTCCCGTTTCTTCCAGTTGTCCTTTAAATGGGAAATAGTGCAAGGAATTTTTCATTGGAATCCTCATTGCGTGCCTTCGTGGTGTTGTTGGAAATGCGTCTGGCTACCTATCGGGAAGTCAGAGGCTCGAATCTCAGCGAGGGCATTGCTGATTTTTCACGTTTCCTTCTTCGAAATAAATCTACAGCTTGCTCAGCAATATTACTTTGTTGCAAAGAAAATCTTTGTTTCATTGAATACTGTAAAGTGCCCGATAGATACCTGTTTAAGGAGAGGATTCCTTCGTGGAGGATTTTCTAACAGAAATTGGCTCATTTTACATTGCACAAAGTGAAATCATAAAAAAAAAAGTTCATGGAGCCAGCTTGTTCGAGGGGATTTGAACCCAGGCCGAGCTACTAGGTTTCAGTCGTCTTTTCCATTTCGCTGCTTGATGGACGTTCAAAAAGATTAAATTAAAAAAACATTTATGGCCCAAATGTATACTTAGAAAACTTATTGCGTTTCATTCGTATTGAAGAAGAAGGGTAACAGAAAAGACTTAGGAAAAAGAAAGTAGTATTTCTCATCTTTGCTATGTAATTCGCAATGTTTATTGTTCATAATCCATACAATGCTGTATAATTCATTCATTATATCTGAATAAATTATTTGTCACTTTGTGTATTGTGAGAGTAGGCATTTACTGTTTTTTCATCCTGAATTTAAAAAAAAATCAAACTTCAAATAATTGGATTACATACAAGTATACATTTTCATACAAGAATACAGGTATATATATATATATATATATGAAACTCATACATTATTTGTGTTGTGCAGCCGGGGCAACAGGAATGAGACAAAGTTTTGGAATATAAAGCGATACGTTTATTTTAGCATCCGTCTCACAAGTGTTCCTGTTGTACCTCTAGGAGAAGTCCTATTTATAGATATGTGTACATCGTGCTCATCCAATCAGCGATATTAATTGAAATCACGAGATGACGCTATCTCCTCATCAGGAGTGTTCTTAAGGTCTTTATGTAATATGACAGATTTAATACAGATTAATATAACAGGTTAATATAATATTTGACAGGTTATATAATTTATACGTAATAAAGAAAGGATTTCGCCAAAATTTAGGAACAGGGATGAAATTTAGGTAGAGAATCGCCAACACATTATTAAGCAATGTGATTAGAATTTAATTTAATCAATTGATTTAAAAATATCATTACACACACACACATATATATGTAATGATATTTTTAAATCAATTGATTAAATTAAATATATATATATGTTTGTGACTCTTAAATCATTTGTGCAACAGCTCAAAAAAGACGAAAGATATTGTTTATAACATAGTCCTAAGAAAACTGCCTGTGTAGATATTAATTTTTAAATAAAATTTATTAAGCAGAGCTCTAAATTTTTATTTCAAAAACCAAAAGTTTCGAAAATACTTAAAGCATTAGTTAAGAACGTTGATGTGTAATTAATGCGGTATTTGCAAGTTTATTTTATTTTCCTTCTATTACGTTTGGTTTCAAAATGTCAAACTAATAAGAATAAAGTTAAATTAATTTTAGTTTACATTAATTTACATTAATGCAATTTACATCAATTATTTTAGAGACATCAAAATGTTTTATTTGATTATTAAAATAAAACAGAATCCTTTTTAATAGCAAATTATGTCTTATAAAGGCAAATCTTTCTTATCTATTTCTGTATTTATAGATGCTCATATACGTTTAATTATAATTTGCTATTTAATGAGTTAATAATAATTAAATGTATATGAATTTCTATAAATTAATTATAATTAAATTATAATTAATTTATAGAATAATTAGCTTAATAATTGAGCTAATTATAATTTGCTACATAATGTTACTATATCTGAAATTATAATGCCATCTTTTATTTATAATTAGTTATAAATATGTTATTTTATTTATAATCAGTCCATACGATTCGATTTGATGATGACTAAAAGATGGATGGATAACCGACTCATCTTCCCCGCTTCCAATATTGAAGAAAAGGTTGTCTTAGATTTGGACTGGAGGAAGAGAATTTGGATGCCCGATGTATTTTTCGAGAACTCCATCGAAGGCCATGTTCAAGACACAATTATTCCAAACATGTACATCTGGCTGTTCAAGAACAAGACCATTCAGTTTACAGCTAGGTAATGTAAGATACTGCTACATAAAAAATTATGCACAATGATAAGATAAGAGAAGATTATGCTTAAAATAAAACATCAATATTTTGGGTAGTTAATATGTAAAATAGGCTAGGTAAAGCTTTAAAAGTTATGAATTTTGTTCATTGGCAAACAAAATGAATTTATTTTACTACTAGTAACAGCAAGAAAGATAGCTCAGTCTAATCGGCATAGTTGGTTAAGTGTGTTATATATTGAGTGAACAGCTTTCTTATATAACGCGGAGCACACGGCTTTATTTGTTCAGAAATGTTGACGATAAGACATTTCAAAAGTATCGCAGCTGCACAACGTGAGTCTTTTTCCAATACATATTTTATGCCTAAAATGATTAACTTTATTTCCCGTGGTATTAAACAAGTATTAAACAATGGATATTACTTTTCGTATCAGAAACAAACTTCAGTAAAACAAGCTTTCATGTCTTCATCTCGTAAATATAAAGCTACATTTGGGGTGTACAAACTAATCAGTCCTAACATGTGGGCTGGCACCTTTTTTAGACCTTAAAATTTCTCATTTTATTGGCGTTACCGAAGAGGTATCTCTGGGAAAGATAAGAAATATTTCTTAGTTTGATTTATTATATTATTAGAATAATACCTTAATTTTCTTAATTATTGCATATTTTTAAAAGATAAAGGAATTCTTATATGTATTCTATAGTAAATTGACATAATTGTGAGAAAGCATTGCGAGATCATGATTATCATTTCTGATTTTACTGTAAAAAATTCGATTTTTAGTTTAAATGGTAATTTTATTTTGGGTTTCAACCAACCACATACAATTCACGTTACTACCTTAGGACTGATAAATTAACTATTTCTTGAATAAAGTAGGTAAAAGATTGTGCTTTAGTTAAAAAAAATTAATGTGACCAAATCTGGTTATAAGTGGCAAGTGTTGATCAGTTGTGGTATTATAGTTGAGTTTTAATAAGTTACGTTCAATTTGCATCTTTCCTGTATGCCTCATTTTAGTCATTGATTCGTTCGTTCCAGAGAATTTATGCAGATCTGAGTTTTGAGTAACAAGCAGTTAGTATAAAGTTAGAAAAATAGTTCGCAGTAATATTGAGTGTTTAGATTAACCTCCGGTTAACTCCCAGCTCTTGGAAAAATCACTGCTTCGAGAAAGTTTAGAATCTCATGACTTAAGTTGGTTGGTGAGCTACGTTTTCAGACAGATTCATTGCTTCTAGCCTCGCTTAGAAAGTATTTGGATTTGTAAATTAATAGAGTGTTAAAGGACTATTCGTTTCACTTCCAAATCAAGGTGACTGGTAACTTTGTTTTGTAATATCTTACGTTATCCCTTTCAACTGGTGAAGTAGAATAAAGTTAAGTTAAAAGCACATATTTGTATTTGTGTGAATTCAAAAATTAGTTCAGTTAGTAGTAATAGCTGACGAAATAGCTTTATTAGCATTTGAGGGGTAGGAGTTGAACTTGAGCTAGCAAAGAATTAGTTTTAGCTCTTTATGATTCGTACACAACAATCCGATAGCTGCTGCACGCTTATAACTATATTGTAATCAGATAGGACGCTGCTTGTCTTCCAAATATTCGAATTTCAAGAAACGGAAAGAATTGCTTAACGTTGAAGAAGTGTTTTCTGAGAAAAACAATGTCTAGGAATTACTCATATTCACGACCTTAAAAGTTACCTTTAACTATGTGACTTTAAAACTTTAATTAATTAACCTTTACATCAAAATTGACCTTTATGTTTAAGCCATTAAAGTTGCCTTATTTTTTTCTTTTTTTCCGTACAGAAATCCTATCATACATATTGCATGCTTTTGATGTGAGTTTTCAATACAGTTACAGGAGAAAATATATCTTAGTCACAGCAAAATTCCAATTATGCTTTTTTTAATTTGCTCTACTTATTTTGAAACCTGTACTGTTATTTTTGGGATTAATTCTGGGTTTGAATTAATGAGTGAAAACAGAACCATGCTCCTCGATATTTAAATTTAGGTCCTGATTAAAACATTGTTGCAGTGGATAAATTACTGACTAATTAAGACAGGCTTTTATAGTTTAAGTTCACGTTTTATACTTTTCGCTTTTAACAGGGTATATTAAAGAGTACCCGACTTAGATCTTTTTAAAAGTTGTATATTCTCAATGCATCACACAATTCTGAGCATAATAGCATACTGTGGTATGGTACTCTAAGCATAATACTATACTGTGGTAGAATCCATTTATAGAGTTTGACTAGCTTGGGTAACATAAAACTAGCCTCAAACTACTAACAGACGTTAAACGAATTATCGTTCTATCTGAAAGAACTAAAGAGTTTTGACAAGGTCTTAAAAAATCCTTTTTTATTAAATCCCAGCTTGAACATAAAAATTACGTCTCGTGCTTTTAAAGCAACCACAACTTGTGGCTATGTAACTTAAAATAACAGTCAAATTCAAATTAAAACTAAAGGTTCGTTTCCATTAATGCGTTGCGAACGCGTAGCGTCATTGGGAGAAACGCATACGCAGACGGAAGACCGTTTACATTATTGCGTTGGATTTACGTGTACGGAAGTTCGGTGGTCGATTGCATTTATTGCCACCAAATGTCTCTGTATTACTTACGGGATTTGGATTCTTAAGCTATTTAAATTTCATGGTATTGGAAATTTTTATTTCTGCTTATGAACTGTGAAAGTAAAGTACGCTAGCAATTTTTAGATAAGTAAGATTATAAAGCATATTATGAACATCACTAATTGCATAGCAGCTGAAGTAAATTTTAAAAATTTCTTTGCTTTTCTAGAAGCCTTAAATATTAATGAAATAATATATATATTATTAAAACTAAAATGTACTGTTACTGAAAAAATAAATAAATAAATAAAATAAAAAGGTTAAACGAATTAAAAAAAATAGTTGGTACTTTAAAAATACAGAGCAACTGTAAAGAAAGGTTCACAATATTTACACAAAATTTGCTATGCTTGTATACAGCTGACTGCCATGTGAGATGGTATATTTTTAAAATATGCCCAAATCCGGAGAGAAAGCAGGTAATATATAAAATTTTAACAACTATTTTTAATTTCTTCAGGGTTATAGCTGGATAATTTATTAGAAATCTCGTTTGCTTTAAAATGCACTATGCGAAGTTATATTTTATGCATAATCCAAAAAAATATTATTTTTAATTTTAAAAAATTTAATTCATATCTCTTTTATAGAAGAAGTTATAAAAATAAGCTTTTTCTCTTTATATATATATATACTTTATCTAATGTGTGTGGTGTGTGTGTGTGTGTATATATATATATATATACATTAGATAAAGAAAATGGAATATTTAATTAATTAATTCCTGCGCTTCTGCTGGAGAGAACTGATTTTAAAACAAATTATTATAGTTAGTTTTTTTAAAAAATTTTGAGAGCATTAATACTGTCTCATGTTAATTGGTAGGAAAAGTTTAGAGCTGGAAACATTCCAAAGTCTCAGCACATGTATGTACATTCACATAAAAGTGAAACGAAATATATATATATATGTGTACAGAGAGCATACTTTAAATTCGTATTATATAATTTTCAAAATAAATTTTTTGCAGGGAAAATTTAAATAAATAAGAGCATAAATAAAACATTATATTTAATGCATATAATAATATAAATAAATTATAAAACACAAATATGGATCAAAAAGCTAAGAAAGTTGCAGACAGGGTGGAAAAACCCGTATGGAATTCGAACTCACGACCCCAAAAATTAAGCCTTGTTACCGTCAACTTCACCACTAAGCTATCATCATACGGGAAGTGTATGTAATTTTGGCTTATATACACCATCAAGTAAATAAATTTTTAAAACTAAATTTGTTGGTCCTATTTCAGTGCGCTATCGTCTAAAACAGCGCTGTCCAACTTATCATAGCCCGCGGGCCATATTTTCTTCACCAAACATTTCGGGGCCAAGAAGGTTGATAAATGAAAAGTTATTTTATGTTAATTAAAAAATACTTTATTTATACTAAAAAGAAAACTTTAAAATATTCGTAATATATTAATGAGAACATTGTGGCCGTAATTGTTTAGGAACAATATCTTTTATGTCCACATCAATATTTGTTGTGGCAAGTCTAATTATATCTTACAAACTGTTTCTATATTTTGACTTTATATATTTCATATCGGAGTATGCACGCTCGCAGATATATGTACTTCCGAACATTGATACAATTTGAAGTCCAAAATCTCTCAATTTTGGATATTTCTCTTTATCTAAAAATTTGAATATTTCTATTCCAGTTACTCCACGAGATGTAAAAAATGGGTCAGCCAGGTCGCATCTATTTGATATTTAAGATTAACGGAGTTGATATCAATATTAATTGGATCACAAAATAAATCAATAAGATCATCAAATTGAGAAAATCTTTCATTGAAATCTGTTATTTGCATATCCAATTTTGGTAGAAATATTTTAAAATTCGCTTCTAGATTACATTCCTTCATTTCTTCATAGATATCTTTGCAAGATTCAAAATGAAATAAATTATTTAACAACTTAACAATTTTAATTTGTTTCTAAATCCAGTAACATATTTATAAAGTCAACACGTATTTTGATCTTGTCCTTGCAAGGATTAATTCAAAATATTTAAATAATTTGTAATGTCCGTTAGGAAAGCAAGTCAATAACTAAAATTTTTATCAACTAAATTTGCTGTTAAATTTTCATCGACGGCAGTTTCTGGGAGAAAAAGATGAACTTATTTTCGAAGTGTGAAGAATCTCCTTAAGCACTTTCCAGCACTTAAACCAACGAACGTTACTATGTAAAAGCAGATCTCCATACTCAGTTTCCGATTCATCCAAAAATGTTTTAAATTTTCGGCGTATAAGAGAACGATTTCCGCCGCAAATTAAATTAGTAATTTTGCAAACCTTGTCCATTACGTCTTTTAGTTGTAGGGATAAACCACATAATGCCTCCTGATGGATAATACAGTGTAACATACGACATGTAATTCCTTCTTTTTGCAAAAGTTCCCGCGAGCTCAATATTTTTGCCCGTCATAGCTCTAGCACCGTCGGTTACAATAGCAGTGCACTTGTCAAATCCGCCATACTGCTCTACTGAACATTTTAATTGTTTGTAAATATCTTCACCTTTTGTTGTTCCGTGTAATGATTATAATTTTAAAAGTTCTTCTGAATAATTATAGTTTTCATTTATAGTTCTTATAAAGATAAGCATTTGACTTGTATCGGAAATGTATGTGCTTTCATCCAATGCTACCGAAAAATAGCAGCAACTATTGATTAGGTTTTCTAATTTATTAGTGACATGCATGCTAATCTCGTTTACACGTCGGCTTACAGTCTGGTGAGAAAGTGATACTGTTTGAAATTTTCTTACCATTTCGTTGTCATTAAATGCTTGAGCCATTTTTATGGCACATATTTTAATGAATTCTCCATCCAAAAATGGCTTCTTTGCCTTTACTATTTCTAAACAAACTTCAAACGATGCAGCTACAGATGCTTCTTGAAATTTTTGGTTCTTCATTAAAATAAATCGTTTGATGGTCCAGCTGCTTTTTCATATTTTTCACTAGTATTTTCATGTCTCGCGTGTACGAATGATACTTTTTTTCATGCATGGAAAGTTAATGGCGCTTCAAGTTATATTCTTTACACACAGTTATGATATGTAAACATTCCAAACACTGTGGTTTTTCATTCTTGTTCAGAATAAATAAATAATCTATCTCCCAGCGATCTTGAAATTCTCGATTTTCGAGGTCTATTTTTCTTTTATTAGTAGCACTCAAATTCAATAATTATTTTAATTAATAAATAAAAATGAAAGTTAATAATATTATAACACAATCACTCATCAACAAATTCTAGACAGAACTGCACTCGCACGTTTGTATGAATCAACCAAATAGCGCAGGGTAGTGTGCACATCATGTGCGCCAACCATAGATAAACAACAACCAACCACAAATAGTATAATATGTGGCCCCAAACGTTGAGCCAACCATCATCAGACGTTAAACGGATTGCTGCTCTGTTCAGCCAGGTTAAGTGAAGTTACGCAAACTAAATAGTACCTACTTTAAATTCAAATTAGATTTAAATTTTCACATAGTAAAATAATTTTAATATTAATGATAATAATTTAGTAACATAAATTCATTCATAGTAAAATTTACTCTTGGGCAGTAAAAATAATTTTGCGGGCCGTGTACGGGCCACCAGTTGAACAACCCTGGTCTAAAACATTCACCAGAGTTTGTTCTTCAGCTTCTATGACATTTCTTACTAAAAACATTATCTTTTAAAGTGGAGTTCCAATTGAAGTTAAACGCGCTGCTAAAAATATATATCCATGTGCTTACAAATATATGTTAACCAAAAAGATATATTTATAAATAGAGAAATACAAATTTAACACACTCTTTAACGCAGTGGAATATTTAAAAGCCTATCAAATTTAATTTATAATTAACGTTTTTAGTTTTTACCTGTTTCAAAAGGAAAAACGTAACAAATCTTTTAATGCCATATTTGATTTGCTATAGCAGTTTGATGCAGTCAGACGTTCATTTTCATTAAAGGTAAATGTTTATGCAGAACTAGGAAATAATTGTCAGGACAAATTTTGCTATTTCATGGACTTAGAATTATATTTTTTGCGCCTGACTTTCTTAAAATGAATTTCTTGAACGCCTGATTTTCTCTGCGAACTAGTACTGTAGTTGCAGTTATCTTATTTTTCTTATCTTTTTTAAAACTAAATTCAGCTGATTGCTGTCTTTTTCAGTACGCAGATTTCTCGCTATAATATTAATTCAGAAATAAGTATTTTTTAGCAAAACATTCTTTCCCTAAGTTGAACTTCATCCGTCCGTCATCCGTCACCGAACATCGACCGGATTGCAGATGTTAATCAAAGTGAATTCGCTCGCTGATTGGAGAAACGCATACGCAGCAATGGAAACGGGCCTTAGGTCTAGTAGGTAAGGACTGCACAAATGATTTAACGCGAAATTGGTTGAAACTTCTTACCTGTGTAACAATTTAAATGTCGGAAGCAAAGTTGAAGAATTACAATCACAACAAAACTGGCAAAACCTAGTAAAGTAGTCTCAAGAGTCATAAATACGCTCTCTATTACAATCCAAAAATTTCTACTTAAATACTTCTTAAATAATTTGCATTCTGGGGAAAGGGAAGCGGCAGTAAAAACTAAAATTATAAATAAATGGTTACGCAAAATAATAGTAATCTTACACACTAAATATAAAACTTACTGGAATATAGAACTCTAGACTGCATTTCTTAAAATTTGAATTTAACCTGTAAAACAACGAGAGAATATTCTGAATTTGTTTATATACTATAGGAAACAATCATTATTCTTTCAATTCCAAAATATGTATTTCAAACCGAATATTCCACTCATGCAGAATTGAATTTCTTTTCCTTAATTATTATGCAGTTTTAAAGACTATGGTGATTAAGTGTAGCATTACTGAAGTTTTCCTCAATATTGTATTTCTGATTTCTTTTTTAGAATATCAATAGAATTTAGCTGTCATATGGATCTGAGGCTTTTCCCGCATGATACGCAAGAATGCGATATGATAGTTATGAGCTGTGAGTATCTGAACATGGTTTTGAATGGATTTTTCATATGTTCTTTTGTTGAAGTATAAGTTCCTGATAACATAAGTTTGGTATACTGATTTTAGCCTAATATATGTATATATACATATATAAATATAAAAATAGGCTAAAAATTAAAATAAATTTTTTTTAAACCCGTCCTGCGCTATAGCTGCAGGATTGAAGTAGAATAAACTTAAAAGCATCTAAATTAATTAGTAAATTGGAATAAAAGCAAGGCAATTCCTCTATAATATAATAATTGCGACCGTGTATAAGAAGTTTAACATAATATCAAAACTAATCCAATTAAAGCAAGAATTAAGTAGAACAATCTCGAAAATTAAAAATGCGAAAGGGAAAATATACAAAATTATACAAATAAAAATTAATCTCCTTTTATTGAAACTCCAAATCAGAACTCATCAGGGGAAAATGAACTAAAGCTTCATAAAAGTCGATTAATATGTTTCGTTCTCCTGGTTCATTTGAGATCAAAAATCGTAAAAAGATTTCATCAAAGTTTTATAAAGACTTTAAAATTCATATAAAACCGAAAACTCGAATCTCCAATGTACCAGAATTTTCCCTAAACATTTTCGAAATACTTGGAAAAAGGATAAACATTGCATAGTGCCAAAATAACAATTAAACACCATATAATTTTATATTATGTGCATTGTAATTCAAAAAAAAAATTATCTAAAAACCAATTAAATTTTATTTGCATAATTTGTATATTTTCCCTTTTGCATTTTCATTTTTCGAGATTGTTCTACTTGAATTCTTTCTTTAATTGGATTAGTTTTGATATTGTATTAAACCTCTTATACACGGTTACGATTATTATATTATAGAAAAATTGCCTTGCTTTTATTCCAATTTACTAATTAATTTAGATGCTTTTAAGTTTATATATATATATATATATATAGGGTGTTATAGAACATGGCCTATGTTTTAGTTTCTTAAATATTAAATTGATATTTCCAATTACAAAGTTTCCAAAAAGAAAGTAGAGAATTTAATGAAAATAACGATGGAAGGAGATAAAAAGGCCACGTAAATCCAAAATTTAACCTCTTATACTTATGTAATTCTCACAAAGCGCACAATTCTGTTTAAATATTTATTATGGTGTAATAAGTTAAAAAAACACTAAAGCTCAATATGTCTACAATAAAATTCATAAAAATACTAGAAAACAACTTTATTGACTTAGATAATTTTTCAAAGCATATTTTAACTAAATTAAATACTCCGTGAATTTTAGGAAGTAATTACAGAACAGAAGTTGCTTCCTTTAAATGTTTTTTTTTTTTTTTTTTTTTTTTTTTTTTTTTTTTTTTTCATTTTCGATAAAACGCGAAACAGTCTTTTCAGTTGGTTACAATTCCTAAGTAATTATAAATACTTAGCTGAGTTTAAATTTTCTTTCTGTTTAATCTGTTAGCACATGATGAATATTTTATTCACTGGCCTTTGTATGCTTATTAGACAGCATAAAAAAGCATAATTTAAATATTACTTCTAGCACTGAAATCGAAATATTAATTCTCTACCTTATTTTTAAAAACATTATAACTAGAAATATCCGTCTAAGATAAAAAAAGAAAGCATGTAGATCAATCTTGTAGTTACCTTTTTCAGACATCGTAACGTTTGGAACTTTCGTATAGAGCTATCTTAGAGGATTACCATTAATGCATTATTTAGAAAAACAATACTACTTCTGTAGAAAAATTTACGTTGAAATCTAGATCTCAATCCAAATTATTTTCAATATATCATGAAAAAAATATTATAGAAATTACAAAAAATGTTAAATCAGAAAGCCTTTTGTGAATCTTTTTTAAATCTGTTCAAATATTTCAGGAATTTATAAATGATATATAAATACTGAATGTCAATTATAAAAAAAAATATTAAAAGTCAACTAAATCTATATATACTTTATGTGGAAATATAATATAATTCAGAAATTTTAAATTAAATTTTGATGCATTTTCTAGAAAAAAAAAAGTAAATCTGCTTAAGGGGAGAAGACTTTCTAAGAGAAACTGGCTTGTATGCAAGCTGTACATGAGGAAAACCATGAAAACGCCCATGCAGCCAGCACGTTCGCCTGTAACTGAACCCAGATAAGAGCCCCCAGTGCTCACCGACTTTAGAGCTCTGCTATTGGCAGGAGGCAGATAGACTGATTTGTTTAGAAATCTTCCATCTTGATTTAGAGTATATAAATACAAAGGAATAATGTGATACTAAAAATAAAAATACAAAAGAATAATGTAATACTTAACTGCATAAGGTGAAATGTTTTTGTTTTAGCTATCATTCTTTTTGGAAAATTGTTTCTCCAATTAAATGTAAATACTGATATCATTAGTTAATGTTTCAGCATTACCTTTCTTAAGATTCAGGAAGAAAAATTAGAATCTCCAGTTTGACATATATTCATTAAGCGATCAAAATATAAAATTTTGATAGCTTTATGGCTAAGACACATTTTTAATGCACTTGGTAATAAAGATACAACTCACGATTCAAGTTATTTGATTCTATCTATTTAATAAGGTTAAATCCAAATAAGATTTTAATTCAGGTAATTTTATTATTTTTTCCATTTAATTCTTAATTCTGTTGCAGCTAACCTATAGCTTTATCTACATTTTTATAAGTTTTTAACTATTGCTTCATTTTTAGGTTTTATTATAGTTTAAGCCTTGCATGTAAAAGTGCGCATTTTACTACCGCTGCCAAACTATCAGGTTTTTAAATTGAATATCTATATAGATAAGCATTGCCCTTGAAAATAAGATTTCGTGATTAAATATGGACTAATAATTTTTATTGCTTATAAAGTAGTATGTAACTTACTATTTTTGAATTTTGTTATTTGATCGCAATATTCTTTTTTGCACAAGTTTTTTTTTAAAGTGATATTACATTGCTTGATGACAGGTCATTATCCTTAATTTCTTACTTATTCTTCTAGTGGCTCATACAGAAGATGAAATGCAACTAGTTTGGGATAAAGAAGAAAATATTACTCAAGGCGACAATATAGTACTTCCACAATTTGAAATAATTAAAGTTACCAGTGGAGATTGCAAAAAAGGTGAGACATATACCGAAATAAACTTTAACATGAAATTTGTATGTAGCTAAACTGCTCTTAAGCTTGAAAAGCTAAAGCAAAAGCTGTGTGAATTAATAAATCAAACGTATGGTATTAATTTCAAAATCTCTCGATATTTCAGCTAATAATCATGATAAGAAGTAATAAATTTTTAAAAGTTGAAAAGGGAGATCATGAAAGTTCTTTTCCCCACAAGTACATAAAATTATAAAGAGCTCCATATCAAAACTATTTCCTAAGTGGGCGATATTCACAAATTACAGACCATATAAAAATTCTACTAGAAGGTACAAAAAACGTCTGCGCAACCAAAAATTATAGATCAGAATTTTCTTGCTTAAATTCATACTAAGAAGTTAGTTTAACTAACAGTATAAATTTTAGTTTTACTAAAGTACTAAAAAAGTTTCTCTAACAGTTATAATCAGATATGAATAAAATATTCCAAACAAAATTTATCAAAAAATTCATATGCATGCATAAATTTTTATAGCTATATTTTTAATGACAGGCGTATCAGAGAAAGCTTTGCTTATTACATTGATTCAATAAATTTACATACCATTACGCTTATTTATTCTATCACAATGTCATGAGGAACAGCTGAATTCAAATTTAGTTTTTAAATGTTCAAATAATCCAGTTAATACTGGTCCATGGATGTAATCGGTGTTCTGAAACAAAGCACTTAAGTTACACTCTCTTTGGCTCTGTCCCTTTTCCTCCGAAATAAGCTACAGGCCCAAAAATTGGCCATCGCTTGTATGTTGAAGACTTGAAATATTCTTGCAACTCAGGTAGAGCTTCTATTCTGTCTTGGTAGCTTTTGAGAGTAGGAAAATCGTCGTAAACTCCAGGAATGAGAAGGCGATAGAAGTCAAATGCATCGTAGGCCATGAAGTCAACATAAGTCACCTGATCACCAGCTAGGAATTTTCTGTCTCCAAGGAATGCAGCAAAAAGTTTCAATTGAGCTGGAACACTATTCACGAACTCTGCCTTTATCTTTTCAAATTCTGGATTGTAGCAGGTACGAATCATACTAGTACGGAAATCGAAGATCTGTTGTTCAGCCAATTCTATACGTACTTTTTCCTCTTCCGTCTTCCCATCTAGACCATGTTTTCTTGCTAAGTACCTTAAGATGGCTGTGCTCTGAGTCAGCTTCACCTTATCATCAATGTAATAAGGTAGGTTAGGGAAATCCAGATTTAATCGAAATTTATCATTCTGCCAGTCGTCATATGAAAGGTAACGTTTGTCTTCAAAATCGACCTTTTTGTAATGTAAAAGGTATCTGATGGGTTCAGCCAACCCTCGGATATCCCAGTAACCTAACGTGCTTTGACTCATACTTGATAGGTGGCTTGTGAACTGAGGATTCTATGTAGTAAATACGAGTAGAAAGCTGAAGTGAAGCGCCAGCCTATATATTTCTTTTGCTATCATGTAATATCCTTATCACGAAGGTAGATGGTTTTTTTAGCCAACGGCAGGCTAGTTTTCCCATTGACCTAGACTTCATTTTCCAGATAACATTTAACTCTGAAAAGATAAAAACGATATGAGTGCGGAAAGCTTCAAAGCTATGCATGACAAAGCAAGTTTGTAGAAATTATGCATGACAAAGCATATTACTGGTTTCCATAATCTACTTGTAAATCTCGCCTTTTATAAATCAGGATAAATGTGTTCGGTAAATGACTAAAATGTATTCTATTTATAATAATGCTTTCGAGAAAACATTTAAAAGTTTTTCCTGTTGAAGTTATTGTACACTAAATTTTACAAAGCCTTTTAAAATGCGAGAAATATTATCAAATAGATCAAGTAAAATAATCTGTCATATTAATTATAAAACGCATTTCATGGCTGATAAATAAGAACAGAACATTATCATATATTTTTTCCGAAATTCACTTTAAAAAAATCTTTTGCATGTGTTACCAAACGTAGGATTTTCAACAAAAATGAATTTAAGCTTTATTTTCTTCATTTTATTCTTTTGTTGTTGTTGGCTATGGATTTCATGGAAAAATGGTTGCCAAAGCCTCAAGGAGGTTGGACTTCTACTTCCCCCCCCTAATTTTGAAGGTGAGCACCCCGTAGGGGGTTCCTCCCCCCCAAACCACACGAGAGGACTTTCGGCTCGCCATATATTTAGAGTGCCCCCATGCCGCAAAGATACTATACATTTACAAACATCCATGCCTTCTCCTGGATTCGAGCTCGGGCCCTTCGTAACTTTAGTAGACGTCCCTAACCACTATACCGTCTGCGCGGCACTTTATTCTTTTAGTGGATTAATCTATAGAATGCATATTCCTTAGCTTTATTTTGTAGAATACATATTTTCTCTTATGTTAATTAAAACTAAGATATTAGAACTTAAAAATGTGGGCAACTGCCATAAAAAAGCGGTAGTTTAATATTTTCACGAATAAACATAATAAATTTACACTTACCTAAAATTAACGTCCTGAGCATACTTTACTTTTGAAAATAATATTTTATAGTTCTCTACTGTTTCAAGTTATTTGACGATGAGGATTATTATTTTACCTGCATGGTTGGGAAATGTTAATGTATATCAGTGAATATTTGCTGCTGATTTCCAGAATATATGGCGAAAAGCAGTTTGCAGAACTTTTCATCTCAGTCAATATATAGAGGTCATAAAGCAATTCAGTGCCAAGGAATGTGGAAAATCTGGTATATCTTCGTCAGAATTTGAATCACTGGTGTTCCGATGCTAGCTGGATATGCTAACACTTACACGATGTGAGCACGCAAGGGGGATGAGATAATTACTTACAATTTCTTCCCACTTTAAAAGGATGCCTGAAGAGAAGCTCGAGACTCACAAATTATCGTCTAAACCATATTTTAATTCGGACCCTTGTGCAAAATTGTTTTTATAGATTTTCTGACTCAGGAAACTTGAGAAATCAACTGTACCTTCTCCGGGATTCGAACTACGGATCCTCCAATTCACATTTCGACATGTTAATCACTTACACCATGAAACCACGCATGGATTAATGCAATAATTCATTGCAGATAAAGCTCAAGTATTAATGGGGAAAAGAAATTTTCTGACGACTAAACTGCACTGAATCACTGAATCTATGAAATTACTCCAAGCTAAAATGTAATGCTTTTATATGTTTGTAGATTTCTAAATCAGTAAACCGAAAGGGTAGAAATTACTGCCTCTTTACAACTTTCCTTTCTAAACTTTTGCAACCAGACTCTAATTGCATTTAATTAATTATTGCTCTTAGTATAAAGCATAACATAACGCAACGTCCAAGACCCGTATTTCTAATGTATTTCCAAGACCCGTACATTCTTTTAGATTATGCAATGTAAAAACACGTTCAACGACATGATGAAATATCGATGAATGATTATTTGTTCCTGGAGCAGCCATTCAATTAGATACATCATCCTGGCACTACAAGATACTTCCGTAAAAAAGTTAACTCCCACCAACAGCCGAGTGGAAAAATTGCTGAGTATGTGTAGGTTCGAGGATTCTAATTCCTACAAACGGTTGGCTTATTGGGAATTTTTGTGGTTTTCCCTATGTATAACTTCAATATGAGCTTGTTTCCTTTGGTTTGGTTTATTAGATTACAGCAAAGCACTCCAGGGCTATCTGCTTTAAGGAAGGGATGCCTTCGTGGAGGACTTTTTAAGGGAAACTGGCTCGGATACACGTTACATATGGGGAAAACCACGAAAACACCCATGCAGCCAGCCCGTTCGCGGGATTCGAACCTCGGACCGAACTACCTGTGTTCAGCGACGTTACCGCTCGGCCGCTGGTGGGCCCAGTTTCCTTTGAACATTCCTCGACGAAGTCATTTTTTTCTTTTAAGCATATGGCCCTCGTAAGCCCTCGTAAATAAAGCCCTCGCAGATAGCCTTTCAATTCAAATAACCCAAGTTATGAATATGTTAAATGGTTAAATGCTGAGATGTCATTAACGGCTGTGATACATTTGGGTTTGTTAGAAATATTATTTATTTTAGACGGTTGTCATTTAACTAGCCTTACATTGCCATATACCAGTTGTAGAGACATTGGGAATTTTTTTTGGGGGGAAGCAGGAAAGATGAAAAATTAGCAATGCCTTCTCCGGGAATCGAACCGCGGACTTCTGGAATACGCGCCCAGCGTGTAGATTACCACATCACGAAGGCTCGCTAAGAAGGCGGGAGAAATACCTTGTATAGTTCTCCTTTTAACGGGCGACTGGATATTTTTAGGGGACCCAATTGCCAAATCCTGGGTGTGGAGAATCATCATTCACCACCCTTTTAGTTCAGGCGCCACTGTAGAGACATTAGGTATTTTTTTGGAAGTAGGCAAGATGAAAAATTAGCAACGCTTTCGATGGGAATCGAACTATGGACCTCTGGATTACGCGTACAGCGTGCAGACCACCACACCACGAAGGCTCGCTAAGAAGGCGGGAGAAATGCCTTATGCAGTGGGGAAATTCCAGTTCTTTCAGGGTCTTGCTATTCCCAAGTGATAAATATAAATTTTCTTTAGTTTTTCTTTTTTGGCTCTTCGCTCTTCGGATTTCCACAGTTCTCTTTAATTATAACATAAATAAAAGCTACGTTTCCTTAAAAAGACTTGGACGATGACTACTGCCCAATGAGATAAATAACTCCTGAGCGCTTTGCGGTATTTAAAAAACTGTTTGAGCAATCCCCAAAATTTTAATTTTAATTTTATTTTCATCCGCTTATCTCTTTCAAGATACTTGACTTTACAACATTGAGCGCCACCATACATATAAAAAAGTTTTTTTCTTTGGCCGCTATTATTTTTGTATTAACATATCATGAATGTTCTCTAATGTCATGCAATATACACTTATTTGCAAATCATAATATCACATTTTTACCCCGCAACTAGTTTGTATTCATTATGGATACATGAGATTCACGTGAGTAAAATA